CTCCTCAGACTCCGGTTTTTATCTGCCGCAGGCATTTTCCTCTGCGCGTCCTTCCCGCCTGCCTTTTCTCCTGACCTTCTCCTCTCCGACCTCCATCTTCTTCCGTCGACATGATCAGTGCTACCTCGTTCTTGAATCATCCCGGTACCCGACCGCCCCGGTACCGCACGCCGTCCCCCCCGCGACGCGCCGTCGAGCCGATTTCGCCCTGCACCACCGCCGACTTCCGTGCATCCTGGGCCGACCGCGGAGTCCCCCGGGCTGCCACGGTAGATCGCTCTCGCTTCTCCCCGAATGATGGTCGATTCAAGATCGCGGAGGGGGGCGCTTCCCGGCGGTCCGGCCATGGCCGATCAAATTCCACCATCGATACCCTTGCGACCATTGCGTTGGCGACGAGCCCGACCTTCGCACCCCTCTCCTATCGCCCGTCCTCCCAGAATTCCGCGTCCGCCATGTCGCTGTTCCCATCCGAACCCGCCGACTCCGCCGAACGGCCTGCAAAGCGGCCGCGGTCGGAGAAAGACCCGTCGCCCTTCCACCAGCCCGCTCCGGCGGCCGTGCCGGACGCCGACTCTTCCGTCTTAGACAGCATGAAGACCGATGCAGAGCTTCTCTTGAACTTTGCGCGACCCTCGAATTTCCCTCCCATATCACATCCACCCAAACGCGTCAGTATCGATCAGTCATACCCCTATCAGCATGGCCATGATATGAACGGCCCCGCCAGGACGGCCTTGGGAGCGGCGCCCACGGGGCCGCAGGGCTACAGTGGTCCGGGCGGCGGAGGCGTCCCGCCCTCCCGCATGCGATCGCAGTCGGATGGCTCCACCGCCGTCTCGAGGCCCGTCATCCACGGGATGAGGCCCAGCACGAGCGCGTCCACGCTTCCGCCGATACCGTGGCAGGAGGAAGACGGGGGTGCTGAAGACCGGTGGGGCAACACCGCCATCGACGATGCGCCTGTGATCCACCCGGGGCCGACGGGGATGACGGGTCCCGACGCGGCGCCGATGCATCCGCCAATCAAGCGGGGCGACGAGACCGAGTCGCAGGCCTCCGGTCAGGCCAGCTGCGCCGCCTGCAACCTCGACCGGATCCCGGTGGACACGGAGGAACTGGACGGCGTGACGTGGATCAGTTGTGACGGCTGCAAGCGGTGGTTCCACATCGTCTGCGCCGGGTTCAAGAACGATCGCGAGATCCGGACCGTCGACAAGTTCATCTGCCGGGGGTGTCGGCCCGTCCACGGGCAGACGACCTTCGTCCGCAAGTCGTCCCGCGCCCGGACGTCCATCGACTATGCGGGACTGAACCAGGGCCTGGTGAAGGCCGCCTCCGACGCGCTGGAGCACCATTACATCGAGCCGATCCGCGAGGGCAAGATCCACTTTCTCCCCGAGTCCTTCCCGCGGATGCGCCCGGAGCTGGTCACCGCCGAGTACTTCGAGCGGGGCAATGGCATGTCCGAACCCATTGTCATCCCCGCCTGCTGGAACACCTGCGACTCGGTCCCCGCCGCCGATCCCGACTTTGACGCGCTCGCCGGCGACGCCTCAACCCAGGAGATGTTCGACGAACTGCTCGAACACTTGCCCGCGGACGACGAGGACCAAACTCTGGAGCCGGTGGTCGATTGCGGCCAAGACCAGTTGGACATGGTGCTCCCCCGCGGCTTGACCGTCCGGGCGGTAGCCGAGTTGTACGGGCCCGAAGAGCGCGTGGAGGTCATCGACGTCAAATCCCAGCAGGGGGAGGACCGGCGCTGGACCATGCAGAAGTGGGCGGATTACTACGAGAGCACCGGGGCCAAAGTCGTCCGGAATGTCATCAGCCTGGAGATCTCCCAAAGCAAACTGGGCAAGCTGATCCGTCGACCCAAGGTCGTCCGCGACCTGGATCTGCAGGATGCCGTCTGGCCCGCCGAACTCCAGGCCGTCGGCGAATACCCCAAGGTCCAGTTTTACTGCCTGATGTCGGTCGCGGACTGCTACACCGACTTCCACATCGATTTCGGCGGGTCCTCGGTTTACTATCATATCCTCAAGGGCAAGAAGACCTTCTTCTTCATCCCGCCCAAGGACAAACACCTGAAGAAGTACGAGGAATGGTGCAATTCGCCCGCCCAAGACGACACCTTCCTCGGCGATCAGACCCAGGAATGCTACCGGGTGGATCTCTCCGAGGGCGATACCATGCTGATCCCTTCGGGGTGGATCCACGCCGTCTGGACGCCGGAAAACAGTCTGGTGATCGGTGGGAACTTTCTGACGCGGCTAAATTACGGCATGCAGATCAAGATCGCCAAGATCGAGAAGGACACGAAGGTGCCCCGGAAGTTCCGATACCCGTACTTTCAGAAGATCCAGTGGTACACGGCGCTGCGGTATCTGGAGGACGACCCGATCCCCCAGAGTGTCTCTGACGCCTTCGCCCACGACGAGAATTACCGCTTCTACCGCGAATATCCCGTCTACTACGAATTCGGAGAGCGCGCCACCGATCACCCTCGCGGGTCCCCCGCCCACAACTCCCGCTTCTACTCTCAAGCGGAGTTGGAGGGTTTGCCGGATCTCGCCAAGTATCTCCTCCGGACCGCCTTGATCGCCAACGGTTATGCCATTGAGGGCGTGACGGCGGACACCCGAAACGCTATCCGACGCTCGATCCCCAAGGGCGTTGGAGACCCGGTGGAGACGGTCCGGGCCTTCGGGATCTGGGTGGCCTGGAAGCGGGGGAACGAAAAAGCGGCCAGCTGGACGCGCCCCGGCGTGATCGAGAGCAACGCCAAATTGACCCTGGTCGAGAAGAAGCCCGCTGGGAGGCCGAGCCGCCGCTCGGAACGCAATCAGGACAGCCAGCGCATGTACACCGAGCGACAGGCCGTGCAGCGGTTTCCCGAACCCTCCGAACCCCGCGAAATCCCCAATGGCCATGCCAACAGCGGCGGGCTCCCTCTCCCGTCGAGCAGCAGCAGTGTTCCCACGACATCGCACTCTTCAGGAAATCCTCCGGCCGAAGAAGCCTCCCCCCCGGTTCCTCCTCTCAAACCTCGCAATACTCCGCGTGGCTCTGGTCTGGGCCCGAAACGGGTTGCTTGCGATGCTTGCCGCAAGCGCCGCATCCGATGCCACCACAAGGATGGAAATAGCGACGCGATCTCGAGTAAGCAGATGACTGTTGGCGCCTTCGCGCCGGGGAGTCAAACCTCTCTGGCGCACGATGCCGCAACGGCTCTAAACTCCTTGGCCGCCATTGCATCTGAGGCAGGCCTCCCGGACGGCGGCAGTGGGGGGACTTTAGATCCTCTCGAGGCTGCCGCCAAATACGGTTCGACCGTCATGGTGACTCCGCATACGGCCAGCAGGTTTACGGATATTGGCCCGGATGGTACCAGTACCGGGAAGAAAGGACGCAGCAAGGCCTGTGACGACTGCCGCAAGAGCAAGGTTCGTACATGAGCATCCCCCCCCCCCCACCCTTCGGGTGCGAATCATCAACTAATGTGGCTCAGCGTCGGTGCATCCACGACGAATACGGTAGAATCGATCCGATCAAGGCACAGGAGCGCGCAAAACCTCGAGCAGCGGCGTCGGCGAAACGGCCTCGCCCAAGCGAAGAAGGACCTCTGTCAACCATGAATAAGAAACCGAAGCAGGAGAGCACGTCTCCCTTGATGCAGTCCGCACATCTCCACGGCAGAGGCGGTCCGATTCCGGATACTCTGGACATCCAGTCGTCTCGGCACTTCGAGGGGGCCGTGCCCTCCGACAACTCCCATGCAGACATCCCTTATCCCAATCCGGTCGCCGACTTGCAGCAAACGGACGAAATGGACATAGACAAAGACGTTGTCCTGGGACAGACGTCGTACGCATCGCCGCCCGCGTTCCAGACGGATCCCGTTGTCACGAAGGATGTCAATTCGACCTCGGTGTCCTCCAAGCCGACCAATTCGCTCGTATCGCCACCCACATCACAGGCCGACGAGACGGACATCCCCCACGAACATGGTGATGGTGAGGGGGGACACGGGACGATCATCCATACGCCGACATCCAGTTCCCGCCATTCCTCCCGCCAACCCCGCCATCTTGATCGGTACCTTTCGGAGACACACTCCAGCACCAAGGCGAATAAACCAGCAGCCCACCCCGCACCCCAGCGCCGTGCATCATTCAGCGCATCTGGCACACCCAAACGCACGACCACGCCGGGTCCTTCCTCAGGGTTCAAGAAGTCCTCATCGCGGCCGTCATCCTCCCACGCCAAGAAGAGCTTCTTCCCCTCAGCCGACAAAAGAGCCGATCGGTCGATGGCCTCGGCCGCGTCTCCGGGACCCTCAACTAAGAATCAGCAACATGAGAAGGCTGGCTCCGTTGACGGGGAGCCAGACGCCGAGAGTCTGCGTCTGATCCGGGAGCTGCAGGAGCAAGAGTTCGGACTGCGGAAACGGTCGACGCGAGTGTAGACGAAGCCGGCTGGCTCGCTGGGAGACATTTTTTTTGCTCTTCGCCACGACGTGATATGATTTCTTTTGTGCCATCTGTTGTTTTGCTCACTTTGGCTGGGGATAAGGCGTTTCTGGGATGGGGGGGGATCTGGTGGAAATGGGGCCTGGTGTCTTGTTCCCTAGTTGTTCCCTGGTTGTTTATGTTGGTGGCTGGTTTCTTTTAGTTGGCGTTTTTTTCTTTGGCTGGCCTTGTTTTTTTTCCCCTTTCTCTCGTTCTCTCTCTCTCTCTATCCTTCGCGTCATGCGCTCTCCTTCCCCCCCCCCTCTTTCTCTCTCTGCGCGCGCGCGTGTGGTGTTCAACCTCCTTCCGAACCCACCACGTGCGCTTTTCTAGCCTGTTGGATTCGGCGTTCACTGTGTCTATCTGGGAGTTCTAATCCTGATCGGTTGATTGTTGCTTTATTTTTCGCCCATTGTCTCGGTTTCCTGCGCTTCGATATCACCTTATTATTCCCATGGAAGTCTTGTTTATGCGTTTATCTGCCTGCCTGTTTACTTGATATTGATTACGGGGTGTCTCTATTGAGGTCTGTTGATGCGGTTCAATTTGCAGTGTGACCTGCTTTTTTTCTTCTCCTTATTTCTTGTCTTTTTCTTCTACTTCATCCTCCGTCTGTCTGATTCTAACTCCAGACCCTTATCTTATTTTATTCCATCTTTACATTCCCCCCCTCTTCCAATAATCTTCTTTCTTATTCTCTTCTAATGTTTACCTTATTCCCCCAGCTCAGCTCAGCTTAGCTCAACTCAGCTGTCTATCGATATGCCTGACTTTCTTTTTTTGTTCTTTCTTTCTTTCTCACTTTCTTCGACTTTCCCTTATCGTATCCATTTTCTTTCCTGCCCCGGTCCCTTCCGTCTTCCCTTCCGTCAAGTTAATTAGTTACTGGTGTGAAACGACTGTAATCAATCAATCAATCAATCAATCATTTCAATTGGTAATTCATTAACTTCTCATTCATTCTTTCATTCTTTCTCTAGTCTCTGGTTTTGTTACACCTTTATATTCGATCTTGTAAGGCTTGAGGTGGTTTTCATTTTTTTCAACTAGTCTGTCTACCTATCTATCTATCTATCTATCTAGGTACACCTACCTACTATACTCTTCGACCCTTGGTAGATAGTAAATAGTAGCTAGCTACCTATGTAGGAGAATGCGTATATGCTAAATCAATACTGTAAGATATATACCTCTTTCTTGGATATGCTTCAACTATCTAGAAAGGAAAGTCCCAGGTGGTGTGGAAGGGAGTGAGTAGATGCTAATGTGCTTGCCTGCTCACTTCGGACCTACAGTCAGGTTTCTAAGGAGTTAGGGTTGACAGAGTCGTGGCCTGACCATCTTGGTAGGGAACAAATGTTGTTGAGGCGGAGATGCTTGGGTAGGTAGTTAGGTGGTGTACATTGCTATCTAGACTTCACGTTTAGCTGCGATGTCACTCTGATCCGTCCAGACCTGTTATACTGCGAGAATCGGATCCGCTACATTATAGGGCATCTACAGGTACCGTAGATCGAGAACCTCACGCGTTGATGTAGTTTCCAAAATCATCATTCAAAGTCTTCACATTGAACACCGTATCTCCAAAACGCCATTATTGCCTTCCTACTAAGAGAGACGGGAGAAGCACGAACCCGCCCCGACAATCTTAAGAGCACTCACCTAGTAGAGAAAGCTCTTTCCATCACCCTGCACATAGAATTGATCATGTATCGCGTTTCTGTCATAGCCGTTCGTTCTCCAACTACCTCCCAGCCAACTAGCCATCTAGGCGATAAGAATGGAAGAAAGGATAGAGCAGTAAAAAAGAAAGAAAGAAAAACAAAAGCTCATGGGGTATACCCGACATAAAAATAGCACCAATAAGCAAGCCAAAACAGAAGACCCAGTCCTATGAAAGTAGGCCAGCCAAAGGAAATAATACCAGACGAGGCCCGACAAATTTAGGAAGGGTATGACGGCGGCGTACTGGAATTAGAACTGCAGCATGCGGTCTAAGAATATCGTAAGACACATTACCCTCTCTATGAGAGGTATTCTGCGGGGTCAGGGTTGACCCAACGCTTGGCCCGTTTATGCTCCCCAACATAATCCTTGATCACGCATGGACTCGTATCCGGTCCCTGGCAGACCTTGCGACGATTGAGGTGCTTGAACCGGGGCCCCATGGGCCCATTCACGTAATGGTACTGTCCTGCGAACCGATATTGTCGCTGGTCACCAAGCGGGTAGAACTTATCACCCCAGTGCCCCTGGAAGTAGAACCATCCCGTCGGGGAAGACGGGGTGGTCGTGGAAGCGCGCAAGTTATCCTCGCCAAAGTCATACGTGTACGAGTGAGAATTCAGAAGGGGATCCCACAGCGGCCCACGATCGGTCTGGTCGTGGAGCAGCCCCCAGGGCAGGATGTAGGAGTGAATGCCTGGGGTGGCATACATGGCATGGGTCCCCGTGGCAGAGTAGATGACCGGCTACGATCGATCATGGTTAGCATTTCCCGAGCGAGGTCCGCGACGGGATGGATGGGAGCTTACCCGTTCGCCGATCTTCTCAACGGCTTCGTAGCTATACGCCTCCCCTGCCGAGTGTGCACTGAAGAAGAGTGCCTTGGGCTTTCCGTGGTGGAATCGGACCAGACAGTGTTCCCAGTCCCCAATGTGGTTTCCAAACCGTACGTTCAAAACCACATTCCCGAGATTGAAACTGTAGAAAAAGAACCAGAAGGCGTCGATGATGCCGTTCCCCTTGTCCATCACCAGCAGGATGGCCGGTGCATCACTGCGGCCCTTGGATGTCTCGGCATGAATTGGTTCCCCGCCATACCGCTTTCGAAGCTCATCACGCACAATCTCGTCATCCTTGAAATTGAGGATGTCTTCTGGCTGAGGGTAGCCAAGCGCATCCGGGGACATACCGTCGAGGTCCTCGTCCGCTAGTTGTGCCGCGTCATACCATTTCGCCCGCTCCTCGGGGGTATCGTCCGGGATTCCTCCGTCAACGCGGCCATCCCAATCCGCCCAAGATTGTTCGACATCACCGCTGGGGCTTCTTGGGATATTCTTCTCGCCTTCCATCCAGGGAGGACGGTCCTCCACGTTGTCATTGCTGGTCAGGAACACAGGATAACCATCCTGCCACTGATTCAACTCATCCAGGTCCTCCAGAGAGGGGTGCTGCTCTTGGGACTGAATGGGAGTATAGTTCAGCGTCGGGGTGACGTGGTAGAGATGCTCCGCGATATCGCCCGGCCAGAATTGCTCGTCCGAGAACAGATGGACGAGAGGCGCATACCGGAAGACATAATCGGGGATGAGGCGACGGGAGCGTTCCGTCTCGTCCCACGTCTCGTCAACAGCGTCTGTCCCATTCCACCAATACGATCGCCACGGCTCAGTGTCATCTTCCTCGTCCGCTGACGAGGGGCCCCGCTGGCCGAAACGGGGACCAGCGGGGTGGAAATGAGCGGTCCCGCAAAGGCCGAGCCAGCGACAAGCTTTCCGGTCCAGCCAGGAGGGGGAGGACGCGATCCAGTGCTTCTCGTCGTTATCTTCGGCCGACCAGACAAATGCGCGCGGGTTGACGGCGCGGACCGCACTGTTGACGGTGACATACGCAATCAGCGACGAGAGAATGACGATGGCGGCGGTGGCCTTTTGCACCATCTGCTGTCCAAGACTGGGATGAGCCGCGAGGGCGGAGTCGGACGGTGACTGGGGATGACCGGGCCGTTCGACCTCCTTGGTCGCCGCGGAAAGCGTGGCGGAGTCGGTGGAAGCAATGACAGTCTTCCCGGTCGGGGTACTACCGTCAGGCCGAGAGACAATGGGGATTGTCAAGGAGGACTCCGCGGAAGGGATGAAGAGCAAAGGACCCGGAGCATGGGATCGAGGAACGGGATTACAAAATACAAAGTATAGAAACAAGGGAAAGAGATAGCAAGAAAAGCGAGACCATCGGGCAGCCAGGCCCGGAAGCAGAGGAGGAGGCCACACTATAATAAGGGAAGCGCGCACGAAGGCATTGTCCCGTCAGCAATGGTTGAGAACAGCTGTGGGAACAGCACGGTTACCGAGTCCAGCAACGAACTCTATGAGTGGGGGAAGGAGGGGGCGACACGGCCCATTGACACTGGACTAGGCTGAAAGAAAAAAAGAAAACCATAAAAAAAAAGGGGAGAAAAAAAGAAAAATTATGATGAAGGATACAGGGAGTTATGTGACAGATGACTGGGCAGGAAAGAAGGTGAGACCGGGAAAGACGGATGTGGTTTAGGATGTGTCGAGATAGTGGATAATTGGGAAGGAGGCAAAAACCAGAACAAGAATACAATAGTAGAAAATAGAAAATAGTAAGAAGTACAGTCTCAAAAGACCACAAGGAGGCAAGATAGTCCGCCAAATCCATTCTTGATGAATTGGAATGAATTGCAAGAAGGGGGGGAGGTGTAGAAAACGGAATGGAAGTCGACGGATGCATCTTGACAGAGCATCCAGAACGAGCGGCGATCAGCCGTGGCCCATTCTTCTTTCTGACTTGGCTTCCGCCCACTGCCGGGTGACCAATTATGTACGTACCAAAGATACGGGGTCACCGACGTAGTGGAGAGGGAAGAATGAAGCATGGGGCCAAGGATTAGAAAACGGAGGGAATTTCAACTATTCATGCCCCATGACAGTCCTAGCAGGGCACGCAAAGGGCAGAGAACAAAATTGTCAAATGAACGGCGACCACAACTCTTTCAAGGCCCAACATTAAGGATTCCAAATCACCAGGGAAAGGAAAGAGAGAACTCACTCAGGCTGGCTGATGGGGGAAACGGATGATCAGTCGAACAATGACCTTCTCAAGTATGAAGTAGAGCATAAAAATGGGTCCGACAATAGATAATATCGAGAGAGGGCCGAGCTGGTAGTCTTGATAGAGGATTGATATGCGGAAGGTTGAGGTGGTATTGATTTAGTTATGGTATCACCACCATCACCGCCGTCATTTCCCACAATAAAAAGGCGGGGGGGAGAGAGGGAGTCAAAGAGAGAGAAAGAGAGAAAATGCCGGAAGAGAGAGGCGGTGGTAAGGCTGATGTGATGTCGGTCAGTAAGCTCACACTTGTCGTACCTGAGATAAGAACAATGGACTGTGGTCGGTACCTATTGGATGCGGAGTCAGTCAGAGTGGATCAGGTCGGATGAGGGGGCGTCTGTTAAGTTGTTTCGACCGTGGAACCATCACCGTACCAAGAGCGCGGGGGACTCGATCATCATTCCAGTTCAAAGACAGGACGCCAAGGGGGTCTGTGAGTTCTCTCTTTCCCTCCCCTTTGTTCCCTCTTCAGATGTAATGACGGAATTGGGGAGGAATGGAGAAGTGGGGAAGATGACGACGGATGGAGTGAGGTTGATCAGATCGAATCCTATAGTTAGTTAGTGAGTAGTTAGTGAGTGAGTTAGTATGGTTTATGTCAGCAGGCCGCGAATCATCGGGACACGCTCGGGCCAATCAGAATCCACTGATCTGCAGTCCGTCACCGCCTCAATATGGAAGGTTTGCCTGAGGCTGGACTCAGGTGTCGTCAGGTGTCAAGGGTCTTGGCGGGTGGATCAAGCTTGTCGCAATCGATCCGCATCCCAGTATATGACTTTTCACCAGCTTAACTTTACTCACCGTATCCTTTTACCTATCAATCGAATGGATGCTGCCAGCAACCTCATGGAATCATAAACAGCTACCAACCTTGCGCTGACCATGCAGGCGCATCCAGAGCCAGCGTCGGTGTTGGATCCGGCCTTATTAGCGGACACTCGCATCCCATATGACCAGGATCTGGATTCGGACTACGAATATGAGTATGAATACGACGACCAAGAAACAGAGGTAGATCCCGCCGGAATAATTCTATCATGACTCAAAAATTCCATAACAGTCCAGCTGACCCGTGAACTTTTCCCCCGACAGACCTTCTACCTCAACCTAGACCTCACTTCTCACAACGGGCCCATTCGGCCACCGCGCAAAAGGCACGACCCTACCTCCTCAACCACCACCCCCACGCAATCCTCCTCCGCGTCAGCTTTACCACCCCAAGGCGACGAGAACGAGACCACCCTAGCAAGCACGGAAGTGGACCCGACCCCCGCAGAACGAGTACAAATCCTCGGTCTACACACGCGCAACCCCATCGTCTCCTACCAGAACCAAATCTTCAGCTGCTCCTGGGCCGACCAGATAGGCACGGAGCTGCTCTTCACCCATCCCGAGCTTGCGTCCGCGCCGGAGCCCGAGCCAGAACCAGAATCAGAGCCCCGAGCAGCCCAGATCACCCCGCTCAAACACACCGAAGACTTCGACCTCCTCGCCGCCAACAGCGTCAAAATCCTCGGCCGCAAGGCGAACCTCATCTCCAGCGCCGGCCCAGCAGGAGCCGTCCCCACCGACCCATCCACCACCTCATCTGCAGACGGCGTCACCGGCGGCGCATCCACCCCCGGGCCACCTCCCACCCGCAGAACAGGCCCCGCAAGCAACAACCCCAACCAAGCGCGGTTCCTAGATCGCCTGATCAGCCTCAAGCAAACCAAGGGCGAGACGGACCCCGTGCGCAAAGTCTTCAGTCTCAAGCGCACGCAGAACCTGGAAGACCGCTTCCGAGGCTGGGTGCAGACAGACGAGCAGCTCGCAGAAATCTCTCGGCTCAACGATGCCGCCACGCAAGGGAACACCGACGCTATCGCTCAACTGGAACATCTCTACGCGCAGATGGGAAGCCGAGAAGCCGATGAAGACGCGCCTCCAGAGCGTTGAATCTAGCCTAGCCCTTCACACCCGTGGCCCTTACTCGCCGTTACTCGGACATATGGCGATTCTAGATTTTCCTTTAGCCCACTGAAAAGTCCCAACTCCGACCATCCGTCGGCACTACTCCCAGCATCATGGGCCAATCGCCGATTATCGCCACCCGGCCGCATCCATCACGTGACACTATCCGCTGAACCGAGGATGTTCAGAACAGCCCAGCCTAGTGAGCTGCTGCTAGCTAGGTAATAGCATATCGCCGCGTATCGTCCGCCCGCGCGCCCGCGCGCCTAACAAACACCTCGGGCCTCGTTTCGCATGCGACATTCATTCCCACAAGAGTGTAGTAGTCTAGTCTACTACGTAGTAGGCTTCCGTTATTTTGTTTTCTCAGCCTGATAGCTGACCCCACCGAATATGACGGAACCGGTTTCCTTCGTTTGTTCGTCCGTTCGTTCTTTTGCCTGCCCATGGGATGGCGTCATGGTTTGGTGCTTTCTAGGTGACTCACTTTGCTGAGCCTTATGTCTCGTGGCGTGAGTGAAGCTTGGATTGAGGCTGTGGGAGAAATATTAGCTTATCTTAGCTTGGCTTCGCTTGCTTTTTCTCCTTTAGTATCTTCTTCCCACAGTAGGTGGCAAACGCTACTCTAAACCTGTCATATCGATAGCTATCCAATAATGATCTCTCGCGGTGCGCAGAGCAGACATGTCATGTCATGTCAGTTCGAGATAGTCAACTCAAAAGATATTGGTTAGCTTGTTATTGGCGTTATTGGTGTTATTGGTGTTATTGGTGTTATTGTGATAAGAGTGTATAATCTAATACCGTATCCCATTAAGAGTAAAAAACAAACGCATTCCATGACATTTGCTTTTCCGTCTTCCGCTTTTTCCTTTCCTTGCCTGCCCTTCCCTTCCATTTCCCATACTGTATCAAGACAAACAAACAAACAAACCCATGAAACAAACGCGCAGACCGACTGAAGTGGACACATCGCTAAAGAGAGAGAAACAACTAGAAAACAACAAGAATCCCATATCCATCTGTAGTAATAAAAAAAAAAGAGAGCTTAAGTGGCCAAACGAAAATCAAGCAAAGTAGGTCGCTATCAGACTTGTGCTCCACTGTCAAACCAAGTCGCTGAGAACAAGAAGTATCCGAATTTAAGCCCGTTTGGCATCTATCGTCGGTCCCCAGAATGATGTTGCGCCTTGCGATTCAACAGGAGACGGAGGCGGGGGTGGTGGTGGGAACTCCAGGTTTGCTTGAGGGTTGAGTTCGAGGTTGATGGACTTGGGGACTTGACTGGAAGCCATGATGGCGCGGGAGATATCTTGTGTGAAGGTGGAGGATGTCATGATCGTCGGAGGACTGCGACGAGGAGCGGCGACTGGGGTGGCCATTGTGATGGTTTGGAGGTTGATTATGAGTTAGGATTATCGTCGGGGTTGGAAGGTAGGTAAGGGTGGCGAGACCAAAAGTCCTAAGACAATTTGGGGAGGCGATAGAATCTGCCAAAGGAGGAGAGGAAGGGGTCTTTGAAAATATTGGGAGTCTGAAAGCTTGGTTGGTTAGTTCATTCTTATACACTCCCGTCATGGTTCGCGCATAGTATGATGTAGGTACTAGGTAGGGCTCCGATATACAAGGCTCCGGAAGTCCCCGAACAAGAGCCTTCCGCAGCAAACGCAGGGAACGGCATGGGGATGATGTAATTCCGATATGTTATTTTGATCGCAATTCTAGAAAGACTCACTTTTCAGTTTGCAATCAACTTTCTGTCAATACTGTGATGTAATGGGAGACGGCTGTCATCCACCGTAAACGGCTGGCAAGGAGACACGGCACGATGATATCTTCGGTATGGGCGTGAAAAAAAAAACAAGAAAGATGAAATCCGGTCGACAGAGGAAGAACGATGAATTTATGAGACCGCCCAAGTAATGCGCTGGGGTCGGTTTCAAAATACGGTGTAGGGGAAGGGGGTGGGTGTACGGGGGCCAGAGTGTCCCGGCTTAAAATAAGTATGGAAGAAGTGAGTAGTGGCGGTCGTCAGTGGTAACTCCGATAGGCAGAAATGGATGATTTGTTGTCAATCAAAGAGAAAAATAAATAAAATAATTAGAGAGAAATCAGGTGTGACGGAGAAGGGAGTGATCTCGGGCAGAGACAGTTGGCTATATAGCAGGATCGAGGCCACGACTCTTTTTATCCGGCTGTCGACGGTGCTGATAAACAAATAATAAAATCGAGACCGAAAAATAAATCAAGGATCCAAATCAAGCAATAACTGAACGAGATCAATTCCACTGCCAGCGATGCGTTCTATCCCTTTTGTGCCAGACGATCAATGAACCAATAGTCCCAGGAGGAGCGATCGTCTCCTTGACTAAAATCCCTAACTCCAACGCCTCGCTCCGTCTCCTCACTTCAGCACTTGTCGGGTATCCAGGACGAGGCGGAGTGTGCACCGACTAGTGTGGGTTTGTGTTGCATGCTTGCCACGACGACGGAACGGAAGTGCGGGAACTGGGGAAGTAAGTCCCGGTGGGGGGGGGGAGGCGAAGAACCGGCGAAGAACCGAAGGGATCCATCGATTCGGGGATAGGGAGGGGGCTAAAGGAACGGGGCGTTGTGGAATGATCAATGAATCATGGATATTATGGGGAAACGTACGTGTTTATGGGGTTCGGATTGTGGGGGGATGGCGGAAAGGGCAGGGAATCCGTCAAGGGGAGAGGAGAGAAGGGGTTGTACGTATCATTCAGGTCCCTAGGTTCAATATAGGTTGATAGGGGGTTCTGGATTTCCGAGATATTCTTGATATTTTGGATTTCCAGGAACTCTATGAAACCATCTGATTCTTGGTATCTGGATGGAGAAAGAATCAAAAACTCAACCTGTCGGAGTATTCAGCAACCTTTGATCGTCCGTTGCATCGGACAAAAGTACCTCAGGAGGTATTAAATACCTTAATTATTTACCTCAATACCGGCCTCAACAATCTAATAAATATCCAGGAGGGAGGATGGCTGGTGTGGCTGTTTTCAGTTCTACAGGGGTGCCACCCGCAATTCCGGGGTCTTTTCTTGTTTATTTATTATTCCATCTCTTTCTTGATATTGTTGTTTTACTTGATTGAATTTTGTTTCTTTTTTTCTAACCTTCTTTTGAATTGCAACTTTTTACGGAGTACTTTGTTTATTTATCTATTTTTTTTTTTTTTTTTTTTTTTTCCTTCTTTGATCCTCGGCATTGCTGTATAGGGCGATCCTCCGGGGCTAACCAGACTGTCGGGGATCAATGGCTACAGTGGCTAGACTCAGTAGACTCCCCGGATGTCCGTCATTAATATCCGGTCATTTTTATTTTATTTTATTTTTTTCCCTTTATTTATCCTATTATTTTTCTTGTTTTTATGTTTGATTTACGATTCCCCTATATCTTTCGTTATTTTTTATTCTTTGTTTGTTTGTTTGATATATAAATTAATCAGTATCACATGGTCCCGTTTACCCCTTCGGCAGGAAGCAGCCTGCTTTAGGTCCTGTGAAATATGATCTCTAACTTACGGCTGAAACCGTCCTTAGGCCTCTGCGCGATGGCTGAAAAGGAGCTACACTAGGTAGTACAGCACAGTTCTACGGGTAATTGACAATGACAACTTCCCTCCGGAGTATGGACACTCCCCTGACCTGTACTTGAGCTTAGCTGTAAATCATAGAAAGGTCCTTGTAGGATTCGCCTCTTGAGTGCTCGAGTAATGGGAATATGTATAGTATTGTCCTGTACACTTCTACCTTTGCATTTCCATACTCGTCAAATCTCACACTCTACAATCGTCCTTTTGCAGTACTATCTCGGAATGACTAGAACCATCTGCCCAGTATACCACGGAGGCTACTACTCCAGAAGCTGCACTCATATGTGATATTACTATACTCAAATTCTAGTAAGTACGTGTACAGCAAGTCCAACTCCAAAATTCCTTCGGAATGTACTAGTCAGAGCCAAAGTACGCATCCCCACTGGGATATCACATCTTTAAAAATGACCGTTACAAGATACATCACAAACTAGATCAGAGTGGCTTTTATACTGTTGGTTGCAAATGACAGAGAGGCACCTACCAATCAGATCAGATGGATCAGTTCTAGATGATTATATACTACACGAAATCAATGGGTTCTTTTTTTGGAAGGATATGGCCGCAGATCTATGAGAGCTGTGGGATTTAGAGCTTCTAGAGTTGTTCTATTCCCCCGTGATCTGGTGCCCGTAGACTTACTAGGTACTCACTAGAGATTAGTGGATTAGATATCATATTAGCGTGCACTTTTTATTCAATGTAACTGAGAAGCAATCTATCATTATACTTGGATTCCCAGAAATTGGGCTATGAACCTGTCGTTATGGCATGCCCTTAGTCAAAGAACTACTGGCCTAGCTGATCAAGGCAACAGACTGGGTCAAGTAGATAGATAAAGATAGCGAATAATCTGATTACTTGATATCACAAAATGGGTTTACTCGTTCAGGAAGAGGATGCGCATGGCTAGCTCAGCCAGGCTAATTCTGATCAAAGATGATGGAATGTCGGATCTTGACTGCGAGTTCTCAGAAACCGTCCATGATCCAGGTCTCAAGCTTCTCTTCGAGTGACTAGAAGGTTGATTCGGTTTTACCATGTAGTTGTATTACTACAGACGAGGTATGGATTTGCTTGCGACACTGCGAATAATAGAAAAATGTGAGAAATCAATATCCCTCCACTGTGAAACACGACAAAAGTGGCTAGTTTGAGGCAAGTAAACCCCAGAGACTTGCCAACGCCAACGCTGCTATCTTTCTATACCACCTGTCGCTTTCTTCCCGTTCTCAACAAGTCTCGACTTTTACTATGAAACTTTAGATTAAGATATCCAAGTATGACCGTTATATATTTACTCAAAGCCTGACAATCGGTCCGTCACCCGCTTGTTGAAATGCAGGCAGTTCAATCCCTGGGACTAATCTGGAGATCTAGACCTTTTACAGAACATCACATACATAGAATGCTGCAAGACAGCTACGCCACTAGGTAGTTGGTAGGCAGTACGTATATGTCTCTAGGTACGGAGTAGTATGCATTGAACCCTAAGTACCTAGGCTCGGGCACTCATCATGTTTAGAGTAACCTGATACGGGTTAGGTTGTTTCGGTAAAAGCCGAGAAACAAGCCGTATCCTGCGTGCCCGATGAGGTCTTTATGGAATATTCCCTCCCAAGGATCTTGGGGCCATTCCAGTAATTTCTGAATCCTCCACCACGCCATCAACAGGATGAGAGAAAGGGGAAGAGGGATATATCCACTCGGAGGGATACCGGACTTGTTCCATCCTGTGTCTTAACCATCTGCCATGTCTCAACCAGGAGGCTTTTGGTCAATTTTCGCGCCACTACTTTGCCCCATTGATCTTTCAAACCGATCCAGTCGGGCGTTGAGGACTCTATATCATTTCTTCAGGTTGGGGACGCCATCTTTCCGGACGGTTGGGATCTAGACTATCTTGCATAGTTTGTGGGTCAGACAGCAGAATCGGATTCTCTGCTGGGCTGTGCCGCCCCTGATCCTTCGCATTCTGACTGATCGCTTATCGCTTTATCTAGCTGTTATCAGACCCATCGGGTTGCAGGGATATGCGATGCTTGGCTTTATCAGGACATATTCAAAGTACCGGGGCAGTGGGGTGGGGTAGTCCGTATTGGAGAGCAGTGGGTGGATCGATCACCCCAGTGCGTTATCCTTGTTCGTACTTCATCATGCAGCCATGCTGTTGCCTGTATCCTATTTATTTTTTAGAATATATCATCTCAGAAATACACAGAACGACCACTTGGCCGCCAGTTGGCGCAGGTCACGAGGAAGCAATCACCGCCCAGTGAAAGTCAGGCGATGGTTGGCTTGATAGCTGGTGTCCAAGGGTATCCTCAATGCGCTAGATTTGAGACTAACAATTCTACTTGTGGCATTTCGCTTGTTGGGACGTGTTCGAACTTGTTATGTGTGTTGGTTGATGTTTAGGTCTAAGTCGGTGGCACCAATCAGTGAGTGTTCTAGATTGCCGTCTTAGTACCTACCTATACCAGGTACCTGGAGAGAGAGAGATATATATATATATATATATTCCCTGTGAAGCCAGCACTTCGTCCTTTGTCAGTAAAGAATATAATATATGCGGCAATTGATGAGTTCTGCTGTATTTATCTAGTACTAAATGACTTGATGCTCTCCACACATCAAAGCCCATACCTGGTTTTCACTGCTTCCCTGCATTTTCCTCTTTCTTCACCTTCCTATCATGGTTTTTTTTTTTTTTTGAATTCATAAAAAACCAGTTCTTCCTCACGTTTCTAAAAACATCATTCCATAAGAACTCTCATCATTACAACAATAATGCTAAATTGAATTGATAAATCCCTTCACTTGACACTCTCCTGTGTAGCTTAAGAGTGCTACCATCATATTAAGAGCATGTCCATTGAACAACAAGGTTCGTGGAGGTAGACCGCTGTTTATCAAAACAACTAGCACGACATGCGATGAGACAAGCAACCTGGCATGGATGCAGTAAAACGGCAAGCCAACTAAACACCTTGATGCTTGGGTACGAGGTATATATATGTCGGAACAAACACCTCAACACGTGGTTTTGTCAGTTGAGGGATTATGATATCCTTGATCTTCTGCCAAGCTATGTCTTGCCAAAATGCACTGATAATTCTCAATATTTAGTGAGACTAGTTTTGTCCAGTTTATTAATTTATTTGGGGTTATCATCAATTATTTTTCGTCTACCGCATAGTGCGCAATAATATGGTTGATTTGCTCAAGGCTGTTATCATATCTGCAGGATATGACCTGTCATATATTCTTGCTTTTGCAGGTTTGCGTTCGTGCTGATATCTGGGGTGCTACCTACTTACGGATTACTGTAGCTATCTACACTGCATCCTGTGTGTGGCATTTTGGTCTTGTGCAGTTCTAGTTCGGGTAGTATGCACATGGTCTGCCATCTTTGACCTGTTTGAGTAACTCAGCCCCAAAGCTGATTGGTAGGGAGTAGATGGTTATCTGAATTACAGTGCATGCAACTTTTTCCTCATAAAGGAAAAATAAAGCAAAATATAAACAAGGCATACAACGTGGCCAATGACTACAATCCCAAACCACATTACCGAAATCACGCAAAGCAGATACCACCTATCCATCCAACCATGACACTGACTTATGAGGCCATCCAAGCAGCAAATGGCGTCGTCACTCTCACCCAGCAATATAGACCCTCAATGTTGTGATCTCCAGGTCTATCGGTGCCTGCAGGAATGTGCACCCGTCCCTACCCTACCCTACCCCAGACACAATTGAAAGGCGTTCCCACCAACTAAGAGAACCCGATCGATGCCGAGCCATTACCGAATCAGAGACAAGACACCGAAGCCCACCGACCGCCTCGGACGCTTTGACGAACGACGTTGGAGAAATGGCTAAGCCGTCGGCGAGCGGGCCGGGTTTCGATTACCTCATATGGGGGGCGGACCCTTGACTAGACTATTTGACTGTTTGACTACTTTGACTTGAGTTGGGGACGGACAGTACAGTAACTCATTATAGGTACCTAGGGTGGATAGTATGTGGGCCCGGGCCATCGGGGGTTGCTGGTTGGGTCGTTGGGGGAAAGGGCCCTGGGGCAGGGGGGGGGGCAGCATATTAACACCGCGCCATTGGAAGCCCTGCGTTGCGTTGAAAAATTTCATGCGGGGCCAGACCCCCCCCGCCTTCGATGGTCTTCGATGCGTTGCGGATGAGGGTTTCCATGGGGTAATGGGAAATAAATCCCGGGGTTACAGATGAGTTATTTTAATAATGAGAACTTGGAATATGGAAATATCCCTTACTTGTTCCCAGTTAGTTGGGTTGCCAAGTTGCTACCGAGTTACTTTCCATGTAACGGGCTTTCGATGGGAGACTGGGGGCGGGATCACCCCGCAAGTACGGAGTACAGTACCTGGTAGACTGGAGTATAGTATAGACTATAGCAGACGGATAGGATAGACTCTGATCCAGGTACGGATCGCCGACCCCGCAGTCTGAAGTTTCTGCTTGATTTGATCATTTGGGTTGTTCATTGTCCTTCATCCCTTATGCATCTTTAGTACGGAGTCCTAGGTATGTATGTACTGGGTAGTTTGACAGGTCAGACTATGCGGTCAAATCCTATCCAATCCGTACCACCGATAAGAGGGTGAGATGAAGAAGAACCTGCACCAAGCACGACAGCCGAACTGACCACCCCAGGTGAGGCATTTTCTGGAGGTCATTACGCAGGAGAAATATGCAGAAACAATGGTATGCCACTGTTGGGGGGCATGATTTGCAGAGCACCAGCCACCATGACACATTAAAATGGTCTCCAGCCCTACTAAGTGGAGAGATCCATGACCGGGGGATATCAGCTGACTTGTATATTATTTCATTTGTATAGGGATCTATTTGTGCATTATGAGACATAGTATAGTAGATAGACCTGGAGACATCCTTGGTAAATATCTGACTGTATTCTGCCATTATGTCTTGGGATCTATTGATAGAAAGTGGCATACGATTGTTTCATTCCATCACGTTCGGTGAAAATTCTGATCTGGATGAGGCAATTTCTTTTAATTTTATTATATTTTCTAATATTAGTTTGGTATAATCAGAATGAATCCAAAAGTAGCACTGGTAAAGACCAATAACGTTTAACTGATGAGGTATTTTTCCCACTCTTTGCCTCTCCGCCCGCCAAGCCATTCCCCATTAGGCCACTCGCGGGGCCGCCTTCTGACTAAGGCTGGAATCGGTCGATGGGCCTTTCTGGCCATGATATCAGATCTCCACCGTCATTCTCTATCTGTAATTATTCGACGAGTAATTGAAAAGAGAGAAGAGGGGAAAAGAAGAGGAAAGGAGAAAATAGTACAGATAGCGAGTATAGGAAAAAACAAAGATAAATCCATGAGATAAGGAAAAAGAAAGAAAAAAAGAAGAGAACGTGGGAATGGATCAACCATGGAATCCGATCCACCTTGTCCATGACCGGGTTAGTGTAGAGGATACTCAAGGTGGATCGAGTGTCATTCTCTGCCCAGTGCCGACTAACGACTACCCTGGCCCCCGGACCGGTCAAGTCACCCCGTGCCTGGCCGATCGCATAGCACCGGATATGATGTCGTAACTTCATCCATCACATCGTCAACTTATATAAGAGCTGCTCTCCCCTTAGATAAACTTCTCCGGTTGAGCCATGGATATTCACGATATCTACCCATTCTCTAATCCGTTCTCCTGATTTTGCATGACAGTGAAGCTTCCTAGTTTGGTCGCACACTCCATTGATCGATCTCTTTGGTTCATGACGTGTCGCAGTCTGCATGGATCCTCGTTAACTCTTATCTTTTTACCTTGATCTCTCACCTGAATCCCTTTCTCACAACTCCTTTCAAGTCTCATCTCTGGTAAGTAGTTCTAGAAGCACTCTTCATCATCATTGTGGACTCCAAAGACGGAGACAGTCATTGCCTGATCCCCCAGGAACAGACCAATCACTTCCCCAGGCATCTCCGCCACTCCCCCTGGTTCCCTCTTGCCACGACCCGGAAAACTTGGGAAACACAAACTTTCTTCCTTTCAAATTCCCTCGACTGACCTCATCCTAGATCCTGATAGCCACTTTCCTGCTCCTTTCCTTTCTCCCTCTTCTTTAATAGCGAGAACTTTTTCCCATCATGGTCAACCCCACATATTCCTCCCCGCTCGCCGATGGGCATCTGAATGGGAATAACACCCTCCCCATTCGCCCCGGCCCCAAGCTGTATGGCAGCAATGATGGCGCTCAATCGGGCTCCGGCACGCCCATCGGATTTCAGCGTCATCCTCATAACAAGATCCTCGATAATGTAGCGGGCCCGAGTCTGCGCCAACCCTCTCCGCAACCCACGCACCTGGGCATCAGCGGCGGCCAGCACCGCCTCCTCTCCCAAGAGGATCCGGGCTATATCGCCGCCAAGTTCGAGGGCAAAGAGAAGCAGATGGACCAGGGTAAGCCTCTTTTTTTTTTCCCCCTTGATATATCTATTGGTTTCCTCTCGCTAATTTACCCTTTTCTACAGTCATGGACCAGCTGGAAAGCAGAGGCTTCCTGCCCAGTGAATTCGTCCTCAGTGAAACCGAGTGGTTCTACAACCAACTCGGCATTGATGATACCTATTTCCAGACCGAGTCCGTTGACGCCATCGTCACCCAGATTCTGTCCTTGTACGCCGCCAAGGTGGCTGCTTACGCTCGGGACGATAAAAAGCTCGAGATCCGTCTCGACAAGGAGGCCGAGGATCATGCCGTCTACATCGATACCAGCAAGCCCGGCGTCACCACCGTCGACGGTCCCCGCTACGAGCAGCGCATCGACAAGAAATACATCAACAACTCCACCCCGAGCAACAGCTATCGTGTCGAGACCTTCCGCTCGCCGACTTCCATCCCCGGTGACGATGGGCAGCAGCTCCGTTGCTATTTCGTCTACAAGTGCCAGTTCGTGAAGCCCGACGCCGGCCCCAACGAGACGGACATCAACCTCGTCGGCGAGAAGAGGTTCTTGCAGAAGGCTACCGAGAACACCAAGGCCGTCTACCAGGAGATCATCAGCGCTGCCGTCTCCCGGTCGGGCCCCGTGATCGAGATGTTCGAGATCGAGAAGAGCCGCGAGAAGCGCCTGGTGATCGCCTACCGTCAAGGCTCCGCCATGGGCCTGTTCAGCGCGCTTTCCGACCTGTACCATTATTACCGCCTGACCAGCTCGCGGAAATACCTGGAGAACTTCTCCAACGGCATCACCATCATTTCGCTCTATCTCCGCCCCTCCAAGGATGCGGAAGTGACCGCCAAATTCCCGCCGATCGAGGCCGCCATCCACCAGATCATCAAGGAGGTCTCCCTGCTCTACTGTATCCCCCAGAACCGCTTCCAGCACCACTTTGCCGTGGGCCGCCTCAGTCTGCAGGAGACCATCTACGCCCACTGCACCTGGGTGTTCGTCCAGCAGTTCCTGAACCGCCTGGGTTCCGAGTACATCTCCCTGACCGACCTGCTGGACTCGAACAACAGCGCCCACGCCGAACTGCTCTCCAAGATTAAGAAGCGTCTGCGCACCGAGACCTTCACCTCCGACTACATCTGGGAGATCGTCAACAAGTACCCCGAGCTCATCCACAAGCTCTACCTGGATTTCGCCAACACCCACTACGTGCAGACCCGCGGCCCGGCCGAGGATGACTTCCTCCCGACCCTCAGCTACCTGCGTCTGCAGGTCGACGAGGTCCTAGACGATGCCAAGCTCAAGCAGCTCATCTCGAGCTCCACTGCCAACGAGCACGACGAGATGGTCATGAGTGCCTTCCGCGTGTTCAACGCCTCCATCCGCAAGACCAACTTCTTCACCCCCACTAAGGTGGCCCTGAGTTTCCGCCTCAATCCCGACTTCCTCCCCGAGCACGAGTACCCCCAGCCACTCTACGGCATGTTCCTGGTCATCAGCTCCGAGTTCCGTGGCTTCCACCTGCGCTTCCGCGATATCGCGCGCGGCGGCATCCGCATCGTCAAGAGTCGCAACAAGGAGGCCTACAGCATCAACGCCCGCTCGCTGTTCGACGAGAACTACAACCTGGCCAACACCCAGCAGCGCAAGAACAAGGACATCCCCGAGGGTGGCGCCAAGGGTGTCATCCTGCTGGACGTGAACCACCAGGATAAGGCCGCGGTGGCCTTTGAGAAGTACATCGACAGCATCATGGATCTGCTGCTGCCCCCGGTCAGCCCGGGCATCAAGGATCCCATCGTCGATCTGCACGGCCAGGACGAGATCCTCTTCATGGGCCCCGACGAGAACACCGCCGAGCTGGTCGACTGGGCCACCGAGCACGCCCGGAACCGCGGCGCGCCCTGGTGGAAGTCCTTCTTCACCGGCAAGAGCCCCAAGCTGGGCGGCATTCCCCACGACACCTACGGCATGACGACTCTGTCCGTCCGCCAGTACGTGCTGGGGATCTACCGCAAGTTGAACATCGACCCCTCGACGGTCCGGAAGCTCCAGACGGGCGGTCCGGACGGCGACCTGGGGTCGAACGAGATCCTGCTGTCCAACGAGAAATACACTGCCATCGTCGACGGCTCCGGCGTCCTGGTCGACCCGCAGGGACTCGATCACCCGGAGCTGGTGCGCCTCGCCAAGAAGCGCGTCACCATCTCCGAATACGACGTGTCGAAGCTGTCCCCGGAGGGCTACCGGGTGCTGGTGGACGAGAGCAACATCAAGCTGCCGAGCGGCGAGCTGGTCCACAACGGCATGATCTTCCGCAACACGTTCCACCTGCGCAGCGACCAGCCGTACGACGTGTTCGTCCCCTGTGGTGGCCGTCCGGAGTCCATCGATCTGTCGACCGTGGGCCGACTGATCCAGGACGGCAAGTGCGTCATCCCGCACATGGTCGAAGGCGCCAACCTGTTCATCACGCAGGACGCCAAGCTCCGACTCGAGCAGGCCGGCTGTGTTCTATTCAAGGACGCCTCGGCCAACAAGGGTGGTGTGACGTCGTCCTCCCTGGAGGTCCTGGCGTCTCTGTCCTTCGACGACGAGGCATTCGTCGAGAACATGTGTGTCCGCGACGATGGAACTGTGCCGACCTTCTACCGCCAGTACGTCCAGCAGGTGCAGGAGACCATCAAGCAGAATGCCACGCTGGAGTTTGAAGCCATCTGGCGGGAACACCAGCAGACCGGACTGATGCGCAGCGTGCTGAGCGACAAGCTCAGCGTGGCCATCACCAAGCTGGACGAGGAGCTGCAGAACACGGAGCTGTGGGACAATGTGGAGCTGCGCCGCTCGACGCTCGGCAGCGCTCTTCCCAAGCTGCTCTTGGACAAGATTGGCCTCGATGTTATCTTGGAACGAGTGAGTCTGCCATACCTATTTCTGTGCGAATGAACTACTAACATTGGATCAGGTTCCGGAGAACTACCTGCGCGCCATCTTCGGCAGCTACCTTGCCAGCCGCTTCGTGTACGAATACGGCAGCAGCCCCAGCCAATTCTCCTTCTTTGATTTGTAAGTTTACTCTACCAGGTACCTCAAGTGCCGCCTTCTAACCGGTATTACAGCATGACCAAGCGACTTGCCCAGGCCCAGGCATAGTGGGATAGACTGCCTCGGTTTATGATACCTCATTCTCCATGTTTCTGCTACTTTTCTTTCTGGCCTGTTCCAGATCTTGCATTTCCTGGGTTTATTTATACACCACTGCACATATGGTCGGCTGACCGGTGTTTTACGGATATTGATGATGATTGATGTCCATTGCATAGGATACAATAAAAGTGTCGCATAATGATTCATCTAATATACTTTCTCTGACTTATTTATACCATATTGTTCACTATATCATACTGGGCTGTAAATTTCTTGGGGGGGCCAATGTAAAGGAAGTCTTGCTTTGAAATTCTTTGATAACCTGATCAGCCACCCTCGGCTGCAGTATAAAACCAAGTAATCATGTAGATCTACCGAAGACAAGCCCGGCATCGGCAGATACATGGATAAATTGATCTCTCTATTCATCCATCCTTTCATCCATCCAATAAATCAATTTTAACATATCCTTGATGGATAAACGACTACCCATATTCATGTTAGACCGAGGTTACAGCCATGAAGACTTGGCATGTCAACTTCGGCTTCAGGTTCCTCGACAAACATCAATCAATCATCAATCATTCTTCCGCCAATACTTCCTTGCTTTCATTTTGTTTGATCGGATTTGATCACCCCGTGGGGTAAGTCTAATCTGGGGATGCATAACACATAGTCACCTACCTATGTAACTATATTGCATGCGGGGAAAGTGGCTTGCCCTCCGGTGTCTTTCCCCGACTTCCCTTGTTGACTATCCGAATACAATGGTCATTTCGGATTCACACCTGCAAGCCATGTCTTGGTCAGAGTTACATACCATGTAAGATGTCACCGGGGCGTCTGGATGAGTAACTTGGCGTTGGAAGAGCCATTTTGCTGATAGAACTGATTGATTGAACCGAGGATGGAGATGAATTTGAGATATGGCGATGCTGAGGATGGAGTGTATATATATTGATATAGACTATGGTCTGATTATGGCGAGATAGGAACAGGAAGAAGGCTAGATAGATAGATTTCACCGGTTTGCTTTTTTGCCTGGCTTTTGCTCCTCTGATACCGCTGCCTACCTTGTCAGGACGTCTGAGATATCGGGCTTTCAAAATGCGTTTGACTGCTGTGCTGCTTGGTTGCTCGCTGTGGGTGTCGACTGTGCTTGCGGCGCCGACAGCGCTGGAGGAGAGGGCTGATCTTGGTTTGTTTACCTCAGTTATACTTGGATAGGAGTTGACAGAGCCATGACCATAACATGGTGTCGCTGACTGAATGACTATATAGAACCCGCTGCGTTCGATGACCTCCACCGCGCGGCGCAGCTCTCGTCGGCTGCGTACAGCGGGTGTATTGGGAAAGCGTTTGATGTGAAGATCACGAAGAAAATCAATGATCTTTTGACTGGTACTCAGGTATATCCATCCACCTTCTCCCTACCGACTACTGCCCACGGGAGTGTGGCTTTGAACTGATGAATGGATGATGTAGGGCTATGTCGGGTATTCGACGGAGCGGAAGACGATTGCGGTTGTTATGAAGGGGTCAACTACGAGTGAGGGCCCACATCCTTCTATACCCCCATTCTGATATCCGGGTTGGAATGACTGACAGTGGTTAATTAATGGTAGTCGTCGACATCCTCAACGACATCGACACCACACCCATCACCCCGAAACTCTCAGGAATCTCCTTTCCATCCGGCGTCAAGATCATGGCCGGCGTCTACAGACCCTGGTCCGCTGTGCACGACGAGATCATCGCCGAAGTCAGGGCCCTGATCGCGCAGCATCCGGACTACACGCTCGAGTCGACGGGCCACTCCCTGGGCGGTGCGCTGACCTACATGTCGTATATCGCCCTGGCGCAGAATTTCCCGGAGAAAGATATCCGCAGTAATGCGCTCGCTGCGTTTCCCATTGGGAATCAGGAGTTTGCGGATTTTGGGGACGCGCAGCATGGGACGTTGGTTAGGGGAAATAATGTTAATGATGGGGTGCCGGTATGTTCTTTTTTCTTTTTTTTTCTTTGTGTTTGGGTCAATGATGTTGGGTGAGTAAGTTGTTTGCTGACGAGCGTAGAATATGTATATCACTATCCCATGGCGTTTCAAGCACTATGGAGTTGTAAGTTCTGCCTTGTTGATGAGTTGACTGCTTGGTTCTAACACGGCAAAGGAATACTACAGCGCCGGGCTCAGGGTCACTACCCGTCGGTGCAATGGTCAACGCGATTTGCAGTGCTCCGCCGGGAATGGTGTCATTGCTGTGACTCCGGGGCATTTCCAGAATTTTGGAGTTGGGCTTGGGTTGGCTGGGTGTGGATTACTTAGTTGATTGTGGCCTTGGATAGGTTTATTGGGAACACTGGAGGATGCCAGACTGGAGGCCATTGCAGTTTATTCATGAAGTCGGATGCAATCATGAATTCAGATATTCCGTGTTGAACAAGCAATGGGTTATGATACTTGATATTGTCAAATGCACAGAGTAGAAAGTAAAAGTAGTGGATGAAGGCGGAGGAGATGCGGTCTTGGCGCCGAATCGGCACGAAAAGAAATCCGCCTCAACTCCGTCCTGCGTTCACCTTCAATCCACCGATACAACCAACCCACTTCCTCCATCCTCCCCTTGTCTTTCTTTCTTTGTCGCCAAGAAGAAATTCCTGGTACTGAGAAAGTACGACTTTCACAATGGCCCTTCACCTCTCGTCGTGGTCGCCCTTACAAGCCGTCGGAGCGGCCATGAGATCCGTCTCTGCCTCCGCCTGTCGCTACAACTCCACCGCGGCGTTCAACGCAGCTGCGCCCGAGCAAGCTGGCAATGTATACCAGAGCCAAAGTATGTGGACATCGATCAGCACTTGCGACTTCTCATCATTCCTTGACACCATACTAATCAGTGGATCGATTAGAGCCCCGGACGTACCGAGAGCCTCGAACCTACCGCAAACGAATGCCCAACCGCGAGAAATTCATCATGGACCAGAAGGCGCAGGGAGAGAGCCGGGCGTTGGAGAAATACCAGACGCGCGAGTGGAAAACCGGCGATGTCTATGCGCCCCGAGACCTTAGCACGAGCGAGATGAGGAAATGGAGAGAGCGCAAGTTTCCGTCCAAGGATGCGTTTGATGCGCTGGATATCAATCCTTTGGATCTTTATAAGGTATGCACTGTTGTGTGCCTTTTCTGCCTTTTCTTGTTCCTCTTTTTCTTTGCCTTTCGCCCCTCGCTTTTTACTTGTGACTCGAAATACCGTGACGATGTGTGGTCGGTGACAATCGCTAACCCGCCTCCAGAACTTCGCCATCATGTCCGAATACGTGACCAACATGGGTCGCATCAAGCACAGCAACACCACTGGACTGCGTCCGGTCAACCAGCGCAAGCTTTCCAAGGCTATCCGACGCGCAGTCGGTCTGGGACTCATGCCTAGTGTTCACCGACACCCGGAGATTCTGGCCATGGAACTCCGAAGCCGTCTGGAAGCCGGCGGTGGGTTTTAAGTAATTTTCAAAATCAAAGATGGGCCGGAATCCAGCGAAATTCTTCTCGCGCTGAGCTTTGTTTCTTTTCCGGAGAAGGATGTCGGACCATGTACTTTTCTGTTTATTGCTATTTCTACCATAGTGTTCAGATATACCGCGGAAATGTTGACTGTATATTATCTATCCTGACCGAACTACCCACTACTCCTTCTAAAAAAAACTACAAACTAGGCAGTAAAGGTCATGTAGTCGGCCAAGTCAAGTTATCGTTGAAACACTAGACAAGCACTGATCGCCGGGTCGTCCCCCGTCCCCACCACTCTTCATAAAAGGTACGTCAACCTTCCCCCTCAATTGTCCGACTGGATAATCAACACTCTTCCCTGTCTGTCCGATCTGTCTTCATCCTCCCTCTGCTTTCTTTGATTCGTGTCAACTCCCCGGCTGGTACCGTCATGTCGATCACAAACGGTTAGCCTTCACTCTCCTTCTCTCCCCACTAGATGTTGTTAACGCTTTCTAGAGTCCATCTGGGCTGCCAGCCCCTCCACCACCCGCGGCCAGCCCACCCAGCTCTCCTCCGATTCTAAAGGCGAACGTCTCGCCTACGCGGTATGTCCCGGATCTTTCTAATCGCTTTATCAACCAGTTCGCTAACACTAAGGACCCCCCCAGGCCAACAAATCCATCTTCCTCCGCTCGATCGACGACCCCGCCGTCGCCCGCCAATACACCGAACACAAAGCCCCGACAACTGTCGCCCGCTTCGCCCCCTCAGGCTTCTACGTCGCCAGCGCCGACGCCACGGGAATAGTCCGCGTGTGGGACTGCGTCGGCGACGGCATCACCAAGGGCGAATACAGCATCGTCAACGGCCGCATCAACGACCTCGCCTGGGACGGCGACTCCCAGCGCATCATCGCCGTCGGCGACGGCAAGCAGCGCTACGGTCACTGTATCTCGTGGGATAGCGGCAACACTGTTGGCGAGATTTACGGCCATACCCAGCAGATTAACTCCGTCTCGATCCGCCAGCAGCGCCCGCTGCGCGCTGCGGCCGCTGGGGATGATAAGAATCTCGTGTTTTATCATGGCGCGCCGTTCAAGTTTAATTCGGGGATTCGTGATAAGCATACCAACTATATCTATGGGGTTGGGTTTAGTCCTGATGGCTCGACGCTTGTTAGTGTTGGTGCGGACCGGAAGATCTGGCTCTATGATGGCAAGACGGGCGAGACGAAGGGCCAGATTGGGGAGGGTGAGCACAAGGGCAGTATTCTGGGCGTGTCGTGGTGCCGCGACTCGCGCAAGTTCGTCACGGCCAGTGCGGACCGGACTGTCAAGATCTGGGATGTGGAGGCCGGCAAGGCCTCGCAGACCTGGCACATCGGCGGAGAAGGCAGCACGAATGTGCGCGACCAGCAGGTCGGCGTGGTGTGGCCGCCCGGCCGCAGCGACAACCTGCTGATCAGTCTGTCGCTGAGCGGCGACCTGAACTACCTGGTGGAGGGGACGCCCGAGCCGCGACAGGTCGTGCAGGGCCACCAGAAGAACATCACCTCGATGACCCGGTTCGAGCCCAACGGCGGCGACGAAACTCTGTGGACTGGCAGCTTTGACGGCCGCGTTTGCAGCTGGGACGTGTCCAAGGGGTCGGCCGACGAGGTCGACGGCGATAGCCATCCGTCGTACATTGCCGGCCTGACCCCTACCCCGGAGGGCACCGGCCGCATCTACAGTGTCGCCTGGGACGACACCCTCCGGTCGGTGGACGTCGGGGCCAAGACGTACACCGGGAGCACCTCCAAGCTGTCGGGGCAGCCCAAGGGCATCGCCGCTGGCAACACGACGGTGGTGGTCGGCTCCGCCGAGAACATCGAGATCTACCAGGATGGGCAGAAGACGGGCGAGTACAAGCCGCAGACCACGGTCACGACCGTCGCGGCGCATGGAGACACCGCCGCGGTGGGCGGCGAGGACGCGACGGTCCAGATCTGCAGCCTCTCGGCTTCCAGCCTCACCCCCAAGGCCGACATCAAGTGTTCGCGCAACCCCATCTCGGCACTGGCGTTCTCGCCCGATGGCTCCCTGCTGGCAGTGGGCGACTCCCGCGGACGCGTTCTCGTGTATAAGGTGGCCGATGGCAGTCTGGTCACCGACCGCTGGACGGCGCACACCTCCCGGATTACCTCCATCGCGTGGAACGACGATGGCACTCACGTCGTGAGCGGTGCCCTCGACACCAACATCTTCGTGTGGAGCCTGGCTAGCCCCGGAGACTGGCTGCAGGTGTCCAACGCTCACAAGGAGGGCGTCAACGGCGTGGCGTGGATTCAAGGCGGGTCGAAGATCGCGTCTGCAGGTGCGGATGCGGCGGTCAAGGTGTGGAAGGTGGAAGGATTGAAATAATTGCTATATACTTAGCCTGTTCTGTTTTGAGTACTTTCTCTCTTTCTTATAGACAATACGAATAGTCGTCCAATTAGCTATCCACTGTTTATAACATGTAACCCCTGTTGAAGTGCGTACAGGGAATGTCGTGGCAATAACAGCCAAGATCCTCTCGCAGTCTTCCCCACTCCACAACTCCAACTCAACTCCACAAGTGATCGTCAAAGAAAGTCTAGCTGGTTTCCTGCTACCTACTATGTCACCGCAGATTTTGATTTCCTCCACCATGACTTTTGCAACTCGTCTGGGTGAATTCGCTTGATATAGGAGATGAGAAAGCAGTGATGTCTGCGTCTGGGGACTCGTCGAGCAGTTCCCGTCGCTATTTGCGCCCGAAGAAGGTATGTTGTTGGAATAGCTGAGCTGAGCTGTTTGGGAGCTTGCGTTTCCGTTCTCCTCGTGAGATAGGTTCCCCTCACTCTCGTGACCTCTTTTGAAGCCAAATCTTTCCCATTTTCCAACAAAAGAGGATGGAGATCGATGATGGATCTCATCTATATTAGAGTAATATACTAACGGTTGTCGCAGTTGCGCCAAGCGACCTTCGTCTTACCCAGAACCGGCCAGCGCCTCAAGGGCCTCATAAACCTACGCAGCTCGACCACCGTAACAAGCCAGAGCGGTAACGATGAAGAGCGCCGCGGACTGCTGTCAGGGGTGGTCCGGGGCCGCCACGAAAGGTGGAAGTCGCGTATACGGGGGAGGATTTTACACTGGGGTTACTCGGTGCGGGAGTTCGTCGTGTCGGAGCAGGGCATCGGGGTGCTGAAATGCAGTCTGGCTTATCTCCTCGGGTCCCTGGCGACCTTTGTGCCGCTGCTGTCGGCGGCGCTGGGAAACCAGGATGGGAAACATGTCGTCGCGACCGTTACGGTGTATTTCCATCCCGCGAGGTCGCAGGGCAGTATGTATAAGGCTTTGATTTGTGCCTTCCTGGCCTTTCTCTACGCGGCGTTTGTTTCCCTTACGAGTATGTGTGTCTCTATGTTCTTCCAGGATACGCTGAACTTGCTCCCGGTCGGCCATGCTGTTGTCCTGATTGTGTTCTGCGGCGGCGGCTTGGGGTTCATCGGGTGGACGAAGCAGAGACTGGGAGACCCGCTCGTCAACGTCGCGTGCTCGCTCGCGTCGCTGTCGACCATCACGGTGTTGACCAAGGAAGGCGCCGTGCAGAGCGGCGATCTGTCCCTGGCGAAGATATTACAAGTCCTGAAGATGGTCAGCATGGGCGTCACCGCCACGATGGCGGTCTCGTTTCTGATCTTCCCTATCTCGGCACGCAAACAGCTGCGCTCGAATCTCACCACCACTACCGAAACGCTGGCAATCATGCTCGCGCTGATCACGCAGAGCTTCCTCAGCGGCTCCGAGGAGGAGCTCCAGACGGAGGAGTTCACGAGTGTCGCCGCGCGCCATAAGATAGCGTACAATCAGTTGGATAAGCTCGTCAAGGAAGCGAAACTAGAACACTACGTCGCTGGCACGGAGAGGGAATATCGACTGGAAAAGAAGCTTGTCCGCTGGGTTCAGGATATCACGCACAACATGGGTGGCCTGCGCAGTGCTGCCCTCTTGCAGTTTCAACTGCTGAATCAGACGAAGCTTGCCCAGGCGTCTCAGACAAGCGGTCAACTGATTCCCACGGACGGGAATAGCATGGGTATGCTGGCGAGTCCGTTTTCATTAGAGGATGACAGGCCGCTGCTGGAACCGATTGACGAGAGGCCCGAAGAGGAGGAGGTTGAGGGCAGGTCGGGTTCCAGTAGAGGCAGTCCCGGTTTCACTACGATGCATAGTTATGTCGAACCGGAGACTGACCAGGGTCTTCTTCCGGCTGATATATTTGCCCTGTTTATCGACCATTTGGGGCCTTCTATGGTATGGAATCGCAGCCCCCGCTCAAAAGAAACGGGAACAGTCGTCTTTGGTGATGGATACTAACAAGAATTAGCGATCGCTGGCATTCACCTTGAAAGAAATCTTCAGGGAAATCCCGTTTCGACATGCACCTGGCCACGGCGTCTCTATCAATACTCGATTTCGCACTAGCCTGGATCGCGCGCTTGAACTCTACCAGAATGCCCGGGAAGAGGCACTGGAGACCATTTATCGGCAGAAGGATGTTTTGAAGATCAAGACGCTAGAGGTAGAAGCTGATCTTGAGGAGGTTTCCGCCAGTTGCGGGCATTTTAGTTTCTCTCTGCTGGAGTTTGGAAAGCAGCTGAAGGAGTTGCTGGCTATTCTAGACGAGTTACAACTTGAAGTGGAGGAGAGGCCTAACGGGCGGTCTTGGAACTGGCTGAAATTCTGGCGTCGGGGGGAGGGTGAACCCAGGAGTGGCACTATGGATGCGGGTAGGTTGAACCTATTCTGGTGTCTTTCTGATTGAAAGGCTTGCGATGCTAACTGCCTTCCAGAACAGCCAGCAGCTGAAGCTGACATTGCCAGAGGCGGCTCTCGTCCCCGACTGGACGTCCTCAGCCCCCGAGAGACGCAGAACAGACTTTCCGATTTTGCTGCATCTGCCGGGAAGTCCGCCAAAGGAAGAATCGGCTATCGCATCTGGAAATCGCTCGAGTTCTTCCGACGTGACGACACGAAATTTGCGATCAAAGTCGGCACGGGAGCCGCCCTCTTTGCGGTCCCTTCGTTCATCAACTCTACCCGGCCATTTTATTCACACTGGCGAGGCGAGTGGGGCTTATTGTCCTACATGCTGGTGTG